ATTCTGCACCGCAGAACAAGATCAATTCCACCTTAAAGAATTACATTGAAGATGGCACCATGTATTTTAAAATTAACTAAATCAGACAAATTATTTTGCCAAGTTCCTTCCCAAACCAATTGATCACAACAAAACACACAAGGGTGATCGCGGATTGCGATCAAATACTATAAAGGATGGACGAAACAATAGTAAATATTTTCTTTTTGAATGATATAACACAGTTCTTGTCTTACTGGCTTTATGTATCACAAGAACTCGAAAGTTCTAAAATATATTTCGACTTATATATGATAAAGTGGAAAACTCTTTACAAGGTACTATAAGAGAATAAAAGTGGAAACAAAACTCTGGCCTTTTTGTCATAAAAATACACACTACTCGAAGTTATAACACTTTACATAAATGAAGTGTTCATTTTTGGTTTGGCAACAACTAACATACATGCAACCACTAGAAATTCCCTTTCATGTCCTCCAGAAAGTTGTTTTTTACTTTAAGAATCCATCAAAATGTATTCAACATTTGCAAAATTTCCCATTTCTGTTCGAATGAATTAGCAGTTACTTTTAGAAAAGACCACGAATTCCATAAGAAGCGCCAAGTTCGAGTTTACTATGTCGAAAGCATTTATGCACATCTGTAAGAATGTTTGACCACCTCTTGACATGAATTGCCCCCAAGAGCCAATAAGAATGAAGCTGCTTAACCAATCAAATTTTAGCAGTATTTTTTCTTGATTTATTAGACCTCAAAAAGGTATTGTCAAGCTTACAAGCATGTTATGGGGTAAGTAGTGTTGAGTAGCCAAATTTCATGTCGGAATATATGTATATAATGTTACATTGACACATAAGACATTTAACCCAAACCAAACCATCATTTTAATGACCCTGAGACTCAATCTTGAAGGGTTCTATCCGAGTAGCGTATTTGCTCCCACTGCAAGTAATAAGGCGTCTTCTTCGCGCCTCCTTAGAAGACTTCTTTTTGACCAACTAAGGTTTCAAGGAAGGTTCATATTTCTCGTATCCGTGTGGGTAATTAGGCCTTAATAATCACACTTCGTTTACTGATTTTATAGCACCTTAGTTACGCCTAGGTGGGTTTGAACTTTAGAAAACTAAAAAAGGTAGAATTTTAAAATGACAAATAAATTGGAATGTGGTGTGAAGACCTTCCCACCTCCCTCTCCACCTCGCCCCTCTACTTCCGTCTTATTTTTAGGGTCGGGTTTAACACTCCCAATCATTACACTTCTGCAGTAACTATCGTGGCGATAGCTGAGTTAATTGAAAGCATCTGCAAGATGGGAACGGAAAGGGCGCAATAAGGCAGCATCAATTAGGTGGCGCTCTCGAGTTTAGCACTAGTAGTAGTGATGGTGGCGGTGCACGAATGCCACTTATGCTCATTTGAAGGAATAGACCTAAGAATTGGACGATGTGCTACATGAAACCAATTTTATGTGTCTACAGGCTTTTAAAAAAATGACTTGCCTGAAGACAGCATCAGTTGGAAGGTATTGTACTTCCAGGGTATGATATGAATCAGCAAAACAGGAAGTAAATTCTTGAGGTGTAATACATCTTGTTCCGTGGTGCAGAAC